CCAGTGTGGCAAGGCTAGATTAACAGCAGAGCCGCTGATGATCTATTAATAATTAACACGTAATAATTAGGCATAAATTAACACGATTTTAATTTAGCACAAAACTAAATCTGTTGTTCTTGTAAAAAGGTACTTCTTTTTTGTTCCGTTTATTTCTTTCTCTTTTTATTCTTTACCTCTCTTCCTTCTCCATTTATCATTCTGTGCTTTGTATTTCTCCAAAGCACAGCACTGAAGAAACCTAGATTGCCCTATATTGATTGTTTCAGCCCAATGTTGTGCTGGCCATAGCCTTATTATCAATCAAATCACTAGGCATACAAAAAATGCACTGTAATGGTAACTATCCCCATTGCTCATATGCACGTCGCCAAGAGCAACTGTTTATCTATGTCATCCAAAACAAAGAAAAGGACAATATCTCACAACCTTCGGTTCAGCAGTCGCAGATTTTTATTTTATTTACTTAGTTATTTTGCAATCTTGCCTATTTCTCCAGTAACCAAGCTTAGGCAATACACATGTTTAAATCAATCTTTGCCAATTTCCTCTCTCACCTGGTTGCTGGAAGAGCAGGTCCCGCGAAACTCGTCGCAAAAGGTCTGCGCTCCACAGCGCTAAAGAGGTTTGCTGCTGCCCGACGAAGTGGAGATGAGGCCGCCTTTGCTGGCTGTATCGGCGACACGGAAGACGCGTTCTGCCACTACACAAGCCTCATCCTGTGGCGGAACGACCAGCGGAGGCGGGGCGGAAAGGCCGCGGAGGAGACCATCGTCTTCTTCCTCTCTTCAAATGTCTGCCAGCCGCTGACTGCTGGTCACTGAGTGGGCGGCCTCCTGGGAGGGCTCCTGAGCTCACCAAACATCCATGGTTTCTTTGGCCGAGGCCCTTAGACGGACGGAGGGCTCAGGGGACTCTTCAGTTCTCCAGAGCTTGTTTGGGCTTGCCGATTTCATTGGCCAATTCGAAAGAGCTCTTATCTCTGGAAAGGCGACATGGTTGGAAGGCTTGCAAAAAATATTGGCGAAGGGGCCAAGGGACTATCGCGTTTGCTGTTGTGCTTGCAACGCCCTCAGAGGAGGAGTTTAGTGGCTCTTAAGCGCTCCAGCTCAGTAGTGGTTCCTGCCAATGCCTTCGGTTGAAGATTTATGGACTTTTGAGCTCTCCGATGCTAGCGTACTGTTTTGCTGCGTGCCTTGAGCCAGGATTGAGCGGGCTGAATATCGTTGAAACGCGGATTGCTGTCTGCTGCTGCCACCCAGCTTCAGCTATGGGTCCAGGGGGCTCTTGAGTTCGTCCAAAGGCAACGTGGCGATGCCTACCATCTTCCCACTGCTTTCGGATAGGGGTCCAGTCGGCAAACAGGTCGTGCCGGAGTCGGGGCAGGAGGCCGTGACTGTGGTGCATCACCGAACGGCAGGTCCGCGGCGGCGGCACGGCTCGGTGCTGCTGCTGCGCTGTCTGCGATAGATACCCTCACACTCAAACTGACTTCGTAACAAGATTGCGCTCATTGATCCACCACACTCTATAAATAATGCTCAATACTTAGCTTTCAGTGATATATAAAAAACAATAAGTGACTGAGCACAAGAAGAAGAAATCATTACAGTGAAGCGATCCAAATAAGGTGAAGTTTGTACACTCGCAATGTAGGTAATTTAAGTAAAGCTTGGTTGAACAAGACAAAGAATAGGTGTTAAGTGTTCTACTAAGTGGCATAAACAGTAAAACCAATCTTAACCAAGTTGAAAAGTAGCCAAAGAGACTAAAAAGAAAAGTGCTCCTGGAGAACTTTGGTATTGACGAATCGGTTCACGGTTAAACTGTTGCGATGCAATGCTATGAAATCATACCCGTTGCATCTACCACATGTTTCTCTGTCTGCGTGTTTCATAGCACTGCACCGCAAAAGTTTGACTAAAAAAAGACACTGTGCTCAAACTGCAAATGACATAAGGACATCAAAAAAACAAACAACATAAGAGTAGCACTCATTGCTAGCATCCTGCCTGATAATTTCTTCTGGCTAACATGAGCGATTCCAGATAAAATTATGTTTTCAGTAGGGGTGTATGAATATCAAACTTTTTGAATATGAATCGAATACGAATACATAGCTTTGAATATGAATCGAATATCGAATAATGAAGAGGTACAGTTTTTTTTTTTCACCAGTAATTTTTTACTGAATCATATATTTAAGTTGGAAACAGTACAGTTGTTATTATAGTCAGTTATCGCACACAAAAATTTTTAAAAAGATGTCACCATCTGTACTTGCCAGAAAGCATAGGAGTAATAGGTGAGCTTGTCACTGATGTTGGGTTCAATTCGCATGATGAACAAACCTTTTGTATCTTTTTTTACGTGGTAGCACTTTATTAGAAAAAAAAAAGAAAGAAAAGCTTTTGTACCTGCCTTGATAACTAGTGAGCATGAGCCAGTGGTTTGATTTTGTAACAGGCAACACCCGTGTACTTAAATCTAAGCGATTATTAAAGCAGTCTAGGTGGTCACAATTCATCAAGCTTCAGCTCGAAAGACCGCAATTTTATAGTTTTATTTTTAATTTTGTCCCTTGTTCTCATATCCAGTCAAGTCACTAAGAAAAATAGGAGTGCTTGGGGCATTTTTCAACTACACAGCAATACTCATAATCTCGCTTGCTTCCGTTGCCTTTCTCCAGGACTGCGCTAATCATTTTACGATGAAGAATGCTGCGTTCTTCGTTCCTCTCTTCTTCTCCTCCTGTTTCATGAAATGTCTTTTGCACCTCAGTCATCTGCACCAAGCGAATTCTAGGTTCGAAGCGAATAGTGAATTTGGTCAAATAATTTGGTATTGAATTCTAATAGTATATATGACATATAAAGAAAAATGGGCATATTTATCATGACCTAAATAACCCACACAATATTTTTTTAAAAATGAAATGCAGCCTCTATGCCAATTTCCCTTTTTTTTTTTTTATTCAAAAGAAGTCGAAAAAACTTTGAGTAGTAGCAGGATGTTACTTTTAGCAGGATGCGAGTTCTAACCCTTAAAATACGTAACATTTCAAGATTTATTATACTTAGAGCATATAAGTCGTCATTACTAGCTTTTAAGCTTAATAAAATGAATTGATTTGAGAGTAATATTTTCACTTAAGGGGACCGTATGACACTTCTTCAAGTAGCCATGGAATGCATTCACTACAGAAGCTTATTTATTGGCTCATGAATTCACCGCCACAAATATTTTTAGAATCCGTCCAGTGCAGGCGGAGTCGCGAAGATTTCTCGCGCGCTGCTAGTGCATTCTTTCTTCTCGTCCCGACAAAAGCACGGGAAAAAATACGTCACACGTGCTTTCTGAGTTTATAGAGTCATTTGCCGAGAGATGAGAGGAATTTTCAGCTGGCTTTGAGAATTTATTGGGAATCGCACGCCGCGTACGGCGCTGTAATATTTGGCTTGCGTGTCCTCGGTAGCCGAGGCTACCGATCGGCAGCGTTTTCTGACAATGCTCAAAAAGTGTTGCAGGGCCCCTTTAAATTTGAAGGGTGGCTTCACGGCAGAGCGGATTTCTTTTGAATAAATGCGTTCACAGTTCAGCATTCCAACACTGCAGTGATACCACCTTTACAAGTGGTACATTCGTAATAAAATGCATTTATTCGTTGCTTACGAATACTTTGAAATTTTCAATAATTTAAATTCAAACTGAAGCGAGTTCGAATATCCTAATATTCGTTTGAATATTTGAAGCATTAAAATAATCACACAAGCCTATTCGAGGAATATTCGAAATTTTTGAATAACTGGTTATCAAATCGAGTACAAATATTACAAATGCAATATTGGCCGTATATTCAAAACTTTCGAATATTCGCAGACCCTTAGTTTTCAACTAATCAAAATGAGAACTTGAGATAAAAGGTTGCATCACAAAGCCAAGGTGATGACTCAAGACACTAAACATTTATTGCTGGTCAAGATAATCATTTCAGGTAAAGTCATTGTATCTGCCAAGGAAGATGAGGATTTCAAACATAATTTTTGTTTTAGCTGATCAAGATGAGGACCCGAGGTGACCGAGATGAGGACTCGAGGTAAGTAGTCTTGTGCAAATAGTGAATTTTAGGTTCGAAGCGAATTCGAAGAGAATAGTGATTTTGGTGGAATACTTTCGAATCGAATCCGAATAGAATATAAAATGTATGAAAAATGGGCATATTTATCACAACATAACTTGCACATTATTTTTTTGTAAACATAGCTTCTATGCAAGAGCTTTCTTTATTTTTTGTATTCAAAGGAAATCGAAACAACTTAAAGAAGTAGGAGAATTTGACTTTCTGTAGGATGCAAGTGATAACCTGTAAAATACTTAACATTACAGTCGAAACCCGCAATAACAAAATCGCCAAGGAAACCGAAAAATTTCATTTTCGCGAGAATTTCGTTGCCGCGAGTACGAGACATAAAAACAGTGATACGGCCAGCAGAATGAAAATTTATTGCTAGAAGTCGGTTAACTTAATTTGCCGAACCTTGCCATGCAATAACTTCAAAGCTCTCCCTTCGCACTGAAAAAAGTGGTCCATTGCTACGTCGTCATGTGCGCCAAAGAAGGAGTGAAGGGTGTCCAGTGCATCCAAAACAACCCGTGGGTTGGGTTTCTCCGCGTGCGTCTCTTCTTGGTCCTCGGTGTCATCAGCTTCGCGCACGCTTTCAATAATGGCCTCGTCAGTCACTTCCTCGTACACGACTACATCGTCATCGGCGCAAACGAACGCATCAACGGTGAGTTCATCTGGGATGTCGATATCGATGGCTCGAAGTTCCCCCCGGGCATTGGTCACGGATAGAGGCACTGCACTGCCACCACTCTCGCCGTCAAGTGCGCCTTCGTCCAAATCTTCGTCTGGTGAGGCCGAACCGCGATCCGTGCGTGATGCTTGCACGGTGGTGGTGAAGCCTGTGTGCTTGAAGCAGTTCTCAATCAGCGACGGGGATAATGTTGATCTCGATTTCGGCACCAGTTCCAGTCTTCTCTTCGTCGTTTTCATTGATTCCAACTGTTGGTGTTGCTTCAGCCTGTTGAGCTCGTCCGACAGCGCCATCTGCACTTCAGCATGATCATTTGCCATCGCCTGCTGCAGTGTGGCCAGGCATGTTGCCGGACACAGACCCCATTGCCGATTTAAGTAAACACAAATGGCGGTACCCATGCTAGCACGGCAAAAGGAGACATTTGCAAATTTTGAGAGCGCATAACACGCATACAAGCATATTTTCGACAGTTAACCTTTGTCGGAAGGGTAAGATAAGGCCCGCTCTATGATAGAAAATTCGTTAATGCATGATCGCTGTCCAAAAACATTTCGTTGCCGTGAGATACGTAATCCATGGGCTTCTATAAACGTTCGCCGAGGATCCGGAAATATTTCGTTGCCGCGGAAATTTCGTACTCGTGGGGCTTCATTATTGCGGGTTTCATCTGTATTCATTGCAGTTCAACATCATCAGCCTGACTAAGTCCACTGCAGGACAAAGGCCTCTCACATGTTCCGCCAGTTAACTCGGTCCTGTGCTTGCTGCTGCTAATTTATACCCGGAAACTTTTTAATCTTATCTGCCCACCTAACCTTCTGTCTTCCCCTAACCCGCTTGCCTTCTCTGGGAATCCAGTTATTCACCCTTAATCACCAGTGGTTATCCTGTCTACACGCTACATGCCCGGCCCATGTCTAGTTCCTCTTCTTGATTTCAACTATGACATCCTTAATCCCCGTTAGTTCCCTAATCCACTCTGCTCTCTTCTTGTCTCTTAATGTTACACCTACCATTTTGCTTTCCATTGCTCGCTGCGTCGTCCTGAATTTAAGCTGAACCCTCTTTGTAAGTCTCCATGTTTCTGCTCCGTAGCTAGGTACCAGCAGGATACAGCTGTTATGTACCTTCCTCTTGAGGGATAGTGGCAATCTACCTGTCATGATTTGAGAGTGCTTGCCAAATGTGCTTCACTCCATTCTTATTCTTCTAGTTAATTCAGTCTCGTAGATCGGCTACGGGGTTATTACCTGTCCTAAGTAGACATAGTTCATTACAACTTCAAGTGCACTATTACCCATCTCAAAGCCCTGCTCTCTTTCCAGGTTGTTGTACATTACTTTCGTTTCCTGCAGATTAATTTTAAGACCCAACTTTCTGCTCTCCTTCTCTAACTCCGTAATCATGACTTGCAATTCGTACACTAAGTTACTCAGCAATGCAATGTCAATCGGCGAAGCACAGGTTGCCGTATTTACTCGATTCTACCAGCCCTCGATTGTAACGTGCACCCGATTTTGACAACGAAAAAAAAAGCAAGACATCGATTGCAACGTGCACCAATTTTTTTGGTTGGCCCGCACGATCACACCACTAAAAAAAACGACTCCTTTCAAGAGCTTCTTCCATTTAAGTATGAGG